AAGAAAACTCTCCCGCCAAGTGTGCTCATTCAGAAAAAATTTTCGGCTGAACTCTATCAAGTCTAGTAGTACCTGCTGAATAGCACTAAGATCAGACATCTTGGTGAGTTCATCCTCTCCCCGTAAGGCAATCATGAAGTATGTGGCAAATGAAACACAGAGAGCAAAATACACTGAGGAAACTTAATAAGCTTTGGGGGCTTTCAGGATCCTCAGATCACATTTCTAATTTATCTATCTAAGGCAGAGACGAGTTTTATTCATATTTCTTACAAAGGTAGAAGCATAAATAAGATGCAAACTGCTTTACAATGTGCTTAACTAACAATCATTTTCTAGAACTGATTCTTAAAAACCCACCCAGTCAGTTCCAAGAACATCCTAAAGAAGTTGACCACTTCCCTAATTGAAAATTTTACAAGGCAATAGATTTCCCTCCGCCTCTCTGCATGTATAGGTCCATGGAGGACAACAAACTGAAATGATCCTCCCTCCTGGAACCAATATGGAGCCAATGTGAAGTGCAGGCATATCCCCTGAGTCCTAAATGGCCTTCAACAGACATGTCCTAATGAAGCAAAGTTAAAAATTGGTAATAAATTAATAAGAATGTGCCTCTTAGTGACAATCATCCATCCATTTCCTCTTAGAGCACCTTTTAATTATTGTTACTAATGACAGAGTTTGGGGTCATTGATTTCATAAAAAAAGAAAACTTTTCTGCTCTCAAGTCAGTAATGTATAGCCTCTGCATTCTTCAAACTTGGAATAACCAATACTTACTACTTATGGTTGTCTCTTTTAAATACTGGGCAATGACAGTGCTTCAGTAGTCTGAAAACCCACTTCCTAAGTTTTTTTCTTGCATCAGAAAGACACTTTCATTTAGGGCTGCTCATCATTAGATGTAGTAATGACAAGAGTATGGTTCTCTATACACCTTCTTTGTCTTCATAGGGTGTCATAATAACCCGTAAAGTATCATGGGCATTAAAAAAAAACAATAAACCACAATGCCTGTTTTTTCCATTCTGCATTTTTCCGTTAACTGGGTTTATACCAACTTAAGCAGAGAAACATCCAGCTGCTTATTGGTGATCTTCACAGCTGCTGACTAATGCAGGCTCTTAAATATTTCTAAGAAGCTGTAAGATGTGCTTAGGAGTTTGTCACAGTGACATATGTTGGCAGCCATTTTATTTCTCAAAGAACCATGGAGTTGAGAACTGTATGCACTGTAACTTTCCCTTTCTCCCTTTTCTTCTATACTCATGACATCTTCCAAATGGGGTGAGTCTCTAGTATTACCTCTGCTGGAATATAATTTACCCGTTTGGAAATTGAAAACATGTTTCAAAGTAAATGAAGAGCAATTAACATGAGTCAATAATTCATCACTTTTTTATAGGCAACAAAACTAACTGGGGAATAGAAGTTAAGAACATCATGCTGAACAGCAACAAAGCATGGGACAGAAGCCATTGTTCCAGAGCTCTCTGCTTGGCCATCTGTGGAAAACTCATACCTGTTGCTGTCCTATTCTTTCCTCCCAGCCACCAAATTAATATGGTCTCTCCTTTGTCCTGAAACTTCCAGCTTTAAAAGCGGTGGAGAGATAAAAAGAGTTGAGCATATTTTCTAGTGACTTATGAGAAACTGTGAACTTCATCACTTTTCTGATTACTATTCTAACTTTAGTTTGCTCCTTTCTGGTTAATAAAGGACGAAGAAATTACAGGCAGTGCTAGAAAGCTCATGACTAGGAAAATAAGGATAACTATATATATGTGTGTGTGTGTGTATATATATATATATACACACACATATATATATGAGATACACACAAATACACAAATATGTGCTTTTTTACATGTACACAGACAAGTATATATGTGTGTGTATGTATATACACACATATATTCATATATATACACACATATATATATAAATGAAGGCTTTTATTGAGCTGTACTTTTTCACAATTTTTCCTACAATAGTACATTTTTTACCCTTCAAGACTGTGAATACAAGATAGATTATTTAGTAGATAATATCAAAAGAATTTTTAAATACAATCTTGAGTGGAGGAAGATTGTAGGTCTGTATGCACCACTGTCTATAGTGATTATTCCTGGCAGGACAAAATATTGATCCCAGTCCAATGTGAAAATTTCCCAACAGAATAAAAGTTAGAATTTAATACAGGCAGCAAACTCTTGATTCAGCAAGCTGTCCATTGGATGAAAGATTTACAGAATGAAGTATATCAACAGTCAACATGTTTAGGGCACCCTTTCCAGTCCGCTTCACCATAAGCTCAGCAAGGTTCAGCCACATCTTCTCATTTACACTTATTCTCATCTTCAGTTTAAAATTGAAAAGTAAACAACTCAAGTTTCTCAGAGGCCTTTTCAAAAACTGTACCCTCATCTGAATTAGAACCATTTTTACAATGTTTTCTAACAAGCTAATGCAGCCCCTGTAAGGAGAAATCCTTTGAGGAACAAAAGAAAACACAATCAGATACATACAGCCAGTCTCAAAAGTATCATTGACAGTGAAGTTGTTCATCAAAATGTCTTTCAACTGGATAAAAGGAAAGGGAATCCACGCAGATGATAGTAAGCCCCATGTTACTCTTTCTCCTTGATAAGGTCAGAGTATTTCATTGCCAGCAGTTGCTATGAGGTTGGGGAAAGATGCATTCATTGATTCGTATATTCATGTGTTTTAAAGAACACATTTTTAAAAATTTTTTAATGTTGTAATTTAATTCTCCACAAGTTATAGAAGTCTTGATTAGAAATCCATAAATTTAAGGAACTGTTGTTTGAATGTTAAATTAGTAGTAACTATTAGAAGGACTGCCTGAATTAATTATGCGGGGTTTGTCCTGTCCTATAGATTGTTAGCTAGATTTTGATTTGGTTTCATCGTTATTTGTACCACCCAGAAGAACAAAGAACTGTCTATTGCTACTGTATGTTTTGTTTCATTGTGACATTTATCTCTTGGCGATAGGTAAAAAGCAATAACTTTACTCATGTGGTCCGGAATTAAGAGGCAAAACTATAAGAAGATATAGCTCATACACGACTTTGCTTATTCAACTCTGTGATCAAAACATAGTTGACAGTATAGTTTTTATTCTATGCTTTGTTGCATGATATCTCTATGTTCTACAAAGAGAACTTGAATTGTTTTCCTTAAATCAAATCTTAATGATTTCTTAATCTTTAATATTAACAGTCATTGCTAGTCTGTTTCTGACAAGACAAGCAGCTTAAGCTCTAAATCTCAAGGTCTAAAGACCATAGCCTTTGTATAATGAGCCCCAGGAGGTCCTAGAGTAGCTCAGCCTATTAAGCAAGCTGAGTCTCAAGCAAGGGCTGCTGAAAGTTGACCCGAGACTGCCAGAATTCTCCTTTGTGGGATTTTGTTTTGAGTCGTAAAACTCACTTCCTTCGTGGCAAATCCAGCAGTATTTGTTAATGGTGTCTCTGCTCCATGCCATAAGCTTTACTTCACTAGAGCATTTGCTTGGGCTTCATCCATTTGCTAATGATCATTTTCTGCTTTCCAGTCACTAATTTTTAAGAAGCACCAGCGTGATTTAGTGCAAATATACCCTCAAAGAGGTGTCGTGAGGCTTGATTTTGATTCCCATTTCTGCATTCAGGTAGCATGGAGGGAGTCATTTGATCTCTCTGAACTTCAGCTTCCTCATCTGCAAAATGGAGGCAGTGGGGAATATGTTAAGTAGTACCCAATGTCCCCCAACTTTAATGTTTCAGTCTGTTTGCATTAAAAGGAAAGCCTTTGTTTTTACTATTTTAATGTAACTTTTGGTTAAATGGCACACTTTTACATAATTTTTTTTAAAAGATCATTAGATCATCAGTTACCAAATTCTGGGGATAATTCTTTAAAACAATGTAAAAATATTCCTGAGTTTCACGGCATACTAGCAGACTTAAACCTGATAAAATGCTCTAAGCGTGAAAAATAATCTATTTTTACAATTCATCCCATTAAAATCTGGATTTGCTAGTTGCAATACCTTGTGTTTCGTGTTGTGTGGTTACATGTTGCTTGTTTTCCAACATCTCAAGTATCCAAAGGACCACCATTACTTTATAAATAGGGAAATTAAAACACAACTTTAAAACCTGTGGTCCTTATTCCTATTGATCTCTCTGCCAAATAATAATTGGCTACTCCCTTCTTAACACCTACTTCCCATTGCCTGTTCCTTCTTGACTTTTCATTGGATCCTCTTCCTCTGTTCACTCTTTATACGTGTCTTTTCTTCAGCTTCTATTCTAAGTTCTCCATTATAGTCCCTCTTTATATGTCCCATTAGTAATCTCTTTGATTACATGCAGATAATTTTCAGGCATTTCTTTATTTAAAAATCCTTTGATGGCAATTTTAATTACTTAACAGGTGCATGAGGTACGAACCTACCTTTCTAGAATCATTGCCTTTTTTCTCTCCACAGACACCCTATTATATAGCCTTGCTTAACTAAGTGCCATTCTCTGAGCTCTCAAGGACTTTCAAGCTTCCCTTCTTTTGCCCATGTTATTTACTCCTTTTGGAATATCCCATTCTCCTCTATCCTATGTCTTCGAACGTTGTATTCATTTTTAAAAGCATAGATTGGAGTCTCTTTTCTCTTTCTAGCCTTACCCAACACACAAAATGAATTGCTTCCTGCCTTCTACCAAGATTTCCATGAGTTACTCTAGGAAATTTTTATGCTTTCCTATGATAGACATTATATTATTTTAGTTCTGTATATGGTTAATTAATTAATCTGTATTTTGTGGAGAAGAAACAGAAATCAATTTTACTCTATTTTACCGCTATCCCTTTGAACTAACTTCGTCAAATAGTTCTTTCTTGACAATGAATTAAATCTTGAGAGCATCTCGCCATTAAAAAAAGTATTTTTCCTCATATCCATTCTGCAGTTCTGTATCTTTTAAGTGGAGCACAAGAATAATACAATGGACTTTGGGGACTTGGGGGGAAGAGTGGGAGTGGGGTGAGGGATAAAGGACAACATATATGGTGCAGTATATACTGCTGGGGTGATGAGGGCAGCAGGATCTCACAAATCACCACTAAAGAAGTTACTCATGTAACCCAATACCACCTGTACCCCAATAACTTTTGGAAACATTTTTATAATTAAATTTAAAAAATATTTTTCATACATGAAAAAGCCCAGTGCCAAAACAACAGCAAAACAAAACAAAACAACAACAACAAAAAACCAAAACATTTAACCTGTTATTCAATTTAAAGCTTCTCTTCTCTAATTTGGGCCTAACTCAGCCTCAGAAACCTGAGGACAGAGGGAGAGTTTATTCAGATCCTTTCTCTTCCTTGCATTCTCTCTTCCTCAATCTTCTTCCCAGCCCTAGTTGCCGTTTTGGGCTCAGATTAGCAAGGGAAGGGAGGTGGGATTAGTGAAAAAGGGAGCCAAGGAAGGGAGGTGTGACTAGGTGGGGTTAGCTGCATATACTTTTCTAGTTTTAAAACATGTGGCAAGTTTAAATAAATGGTTTTTTCCTCTTGCTGAAACTTTTTGTTAGTAAATTGGAAAACATTTGTCAGCTCAGCCTGCCGTACAAAAATATCATAGACTTTATGCCTTAAACACTTATTTTCTCACCTTTCTGAGGCTGTAAATCCAAGATTAAGGTGCCAATTTGGTAAATTTCTGGTGAGGGTCCTCTTATTGGCTTGTAGATGGTTGCCTTCTTGCTGTGTTCTCACATGGCAGAGAGAGAGAAAGAGAGCTCTGTGGTATCTCTTTTCATATGAGCAGTAATTCCATCATGATTACTCATCATTATCTAAACCTAATTGTATCCCAAGGATCCCATTTCCAAATACATCATATTGATGGATAGGATTTCAACATATGCATTTTGGGGAAAACAGGCTATAATATTCTGTTCCCAATCCATGCAAATTCATGTCCTTCTTGCATGTAAAATACATTCATTTTATACCAAAAGCCCTACAAGTCTTACTCAACTCATTCTGGCATCAACTCTAAAATCTACAGTCTAAAGTTTTAGGTAAATATCATAGAAGTCACATATGTATGACTCAAAGTACAATTAATCCTGAGGCAAATTCCCCTTCAGCTGTAAGCCTGTGAAACGTGCAAAGTTATCTGTCTCCAAAATATAATGATGAGAGAGCCATAGGATGGGCATTCTCATTCTAAAAGAATATATAGAAAGGAAGAAAAAGGGGGCAGGTCTTAAGCAAGTCCACAACCTAGTGAGGCATATTGTCAGACCTTAAGTTTCAAAAATAATCCTCTTTGGTTCCATGTCTTACCTTTGCGGCCCACTGGGGTGGCAGCATTACCCAATGGCTCTAAGCAGGGATCCCACTGCCCAAGTTTCTACAGGTTAGTGGCATCCCTAGGTCTTCGAACAGAAGTCACTCAGCCTTTAGAAACCAAGGTGGTGGTCCTAATAATCTCTGAATCATCTTCAGGATTATTTTTTCAAGAAGAGGTAGAAGCAATATACAACACATCAGCATTTTTTTTCTAATTTTCTTTAAACCCCCAATATTTAATAATGATTCTTGAGGTACGCATGCTTGGCTTATTTAAGGAAATGAAACCAAAGTTTTCTGGCTGGAGTGTAATTAGTGAGGGAAGAGGGACAAACAATAAAATCAGAAAGGCAAGCAAGGCTGAGATCACGTAAAACATTGAGGTTATGCTGAGGACCTGAGTTTTATTCTAAATGCAATGGATAGCCATTGGAGATCTTTAAGCAGGAAAGGGATGTGAGCAACACACTGAGATTTATCTTTTAAAGATACTTCTGTAGCTGGTATACAGAAAAGTTATCATTAAAGGGGAGAGTGCAGAAGCAAGAAGGCCAAATAACAGGCTACCAAGTAATTCAGACAAGAGGTGTATGGGGTTTGGCTTAGAATGATAGCAGCAGAGAAGAAGGGAAGGTGGAAGATAAGAGAGAACGGTTTGAAAGCACAGTTGAGAGGATGTGCTAAAGGACTAAATACAGAGTACAAGGGAAGCAAGTGGTTAAGAATGACTTCTAATTTGGGGGAGAACAACTAGGTAGACAGAGGTGGTATTAACTGGTTAGCTAAGAGCAGGTTTTATTTTTATTTTTGTTGCCTGCTCTTGTTTGAGGCCAGAAGGGATTACAGGGTTCTCTTTCAACTGTGTTAAATTTGAGCTGTTTATTGGAAATTCAAGTGGATATGCCAAAAGACAAATAAAAAGATATTTAAATTTGGAACTCAGTGTCTGTGATTAGAGACAGAAATTTAGTTTTCATGGGCCCATACATGGGTTGAAAATTCAATAAATGAATGAAAATATCTATGAGAGATGGTAGAAGAAGAAGAGCAGCCAAGAGTCTGAATCTGGGACAACTGACATTGTCCCAGTTACTCACAGGATGAGGAGCCAGAAGAAACTAAGAAGAATCAGGATACATATTATTCAATGATGTTTTAACATTTAAAATATACAGGTGATGAAACAGAATTTATTCTTTAGTCATATCTCGCTTCAGCACTGGTCAGTATACAAAACAGCAAGACCAAAGAGGAAATTGTCCAATTTGTAATTCAATAGGCAACTATTTTTTTAAAGGTTGGAAAAATTCTGTAGTATTGCTGATTACTATAGAATTGGACTTATATATTACTCCAGCCATGATGGGCCATTGTTACATGCAAACATTAGTATGCATAGGTTAGGAGCATAGACTTTTAAAGCGCTGACCTTCACTTTGAAGCTGAGATGCTGGGTAAGTTATAGCCTCTCTGAGCCTCCATGTTTTCATCTGTTAAATGAAGATAATGATAATAGCACTGATCTCATAGGACTAATCTAAGAATTAAATTATTTGATAGATGTGAAATGCTTAGAACAGTGTCTATAATATAATAGCACTAAAATAAATATTAAAACACCTACCTATCTAGATTAATGTAAAAATATAGGATAATTTTCTAGATTCAAGCATGAATTGAATGTTCAGCTCATTATGTACTGGAAAGAACTAGTTATGAACTAGGTAGAAAACAGCTTTGTTCTACAATTCTGGCACTTACCAGAATCATGACTTTAGTAAAGTCATTTAAATCACAAGGATCCAGTAGTCTAACTTGCAGAATGGAGAGTATAGAGATTATGATTTCTTAATGATTTTCTGTAAGTTTTATGAATTTTAAGATAAGTGCAGCAAACCACCATGGCACATGTATACCTATGAAAAAAACCTACACATTCTGCACATGTGTCCCAGAACATAAACTTTAAAAATTTAAAAATAAATAATAATTTTAAATAAGAAAATAGTGAATTAAAAAAGTTTTCTTTATTTCTTATTAGACATTATTTTCTTTTTGTGTCTACTAATGGATGAAATGTACTGCAAAATGGGTTAAAAATCTTCAATCAAGTTTGTACATAATTCATCTCATTCCCAACTTTTAAGGAGCTTGAGATCATAGGATTTTATATTTTTTGTATTTATGTAGATCCCATATACTCAAGTTCTAAAATAACTCTTACTGTAAATCTATTCAAATATCATGTTTGGAAGCCAGAGGTAAGCTATTTAGGAAAATTCTAACTTTTGTTTGAGGTAAAAATTTATTTTGTCTCTCACTCATTTGTAAGTTGACTTTAAAAATATATAGTGATTTCAATACTATTAGATTAAAATTGATCTACTTTCAGAGCTATTTACTTAAAATTGCACATTAAGAAAGTATATTTTTAGATCTAACATTTAAATCTAAATTCTGGTTTGATTGAGGACATATACAAAGTGTAATTAAATGTGTGAGTATTTTCATTGGACCAGAGCATTGTAACAAAAATTATTGCAACTATTACTACTTCTTTTCCCTTTTCAAGTATGTGAAAAACAAATTTAACTTAGGAAAACAACTTCAGGCATTTGACAATGCTACTTGGCTATGATCGAACATTTGGGGCACTCAGTCACCGGCCTTCTGGAGACCTGTGTCTAACTAACTACACATAGCAAAATTATTTTTTTCCTTATTAGCAATGGGACCTTTTACCTAGAGATTTCGGAACAAAAGGTAAGAAAGACAGTTAATTATAGCCTAGGCTTCACATGCAAAGTTAATGAATTTTAATGCACATCAATTAATAACTAATTGGGTTTTGTCAATTATAGATGGAGGTGTTGGGTGATGAGAAAGAAAGAGGTTCTATTTTAGCTGAAATACAATAGTCATTCTTCTATGACTTTGTCTTCCCCATTCTCCTTGTCTTTAAGTCAAAATTAAAAACAAAAATCCAAAGTTTCTAAAGAGTTTTCTGAAATTCAGAGCTTGCATGTACACATGTAAGCATTTAGAAGTATAAGAATTGTCTTTTCACATCAGATAAATACAAAACTCTCTGTAAGTTTATGTAGAATGTTGCTGTTTCAAAGCATTCTTGCATGATGTGTAGGCAAGGCATAAATTATAATTTTAATTTGTAAAATAAGGAAAGGGAGAAGAAAATGAATACAGGAAAGAGAGAAGAAGAGATGATAGAAGGTCTTAGAAGATTTAGGTCTTGGTTTCATTTCTTGGGTTGTGTAGTTCAGACAAACTAAGAACTCCATATTTAATTAATCCAGCAGTTTCCTCTCACCACAAAATAAAAAAAGGTCCAACTTTATTATACCATAAACAAAAAAAGACACGCCTTCCACCTATAGTAATTAAGTCTGTGTGATGTTGCCCTAAGGATAAATATATCAATGAAAATAAACATGAAGTCCAGCAATAGGCAACATGTGGCTGACTGATTTTCAACAAAGGTATCTACATAATTTGCCAGGAGAAAGAATCAACTTGTCAACCCATAGTGCTGGAAATGGCTACACATATGTTTAGAGGAAGCAATTTAATCTTGACTCCTACATTATATCATACACAAAAATTAATTTGAAATGGATCATACACTTAAATATAAAATCTAGAGCTACAAGGTGCTTACAAAAAAATAAGAGAATGTTTTTTGTTATTGGAATAAAAGACTTTTTCAAGG